TCAGAGAGGCGAGAGGCCGACAAAGCCGTCGATCAACAACCTGTTAGTACAGTCAGCAAAAACATACCATTGTCCGTTACCGGAGTTCCAGCAGAACCTCGACCTCGCCTATCGAACGAGCTGTCATGTGACCAGAAATACATTAGCGAAAAAACACCAAAGGCGAAGACCAACGGCTTCTTCCATATCTACAGTGGCTTACTGTTCAATCCGGTGATTAAGGTTGGGGTAATAGTGCTTTATCTGCTGTACATATCCACATGTATCTTCGGTTGCTATGTGATCAAGGAGGGTCTACGCCCCAGCGACTTGGTACCACGGTCGCATTCGCTGATCAGATTCTTCCACCTGTTTGAACGCTTCAAGGCCATCGGTCAGCAAGTGCACATCGTGGTCAGCAGGCCACCAGATTTTTCGAACAATCACGAACGCACAAGGATGTTCGCCATGGTAGCAGAATTGGAAAGCGGTTATCACAGTATGGGCAAGAATTCGACCATCATTTTTACCAACGAATTTCTCAATTATTTGAATAGCCTTGGAGCACGGATAGACAACTCGAAGAAGATGTGGACAGAGGACCTACACGACTGGATGCGTTTCACCAGTGGCAGACAAGGATGGATGACAGACACTGTGTGGGGGGACCCAGTGAATGGCGAGGATCCCTTCGAACTGAAAGCGTTCCGTTTTCAGATAGGCGTCACCAACTTTGACTCCTCCCTGGACCAGATGAAGGCAGCGAAATTCTTCCGGCGAGTGGCCAGCAGTTATCCAGAGTTCAACGTCACCACCTACCACGAGTTCTGGCCGTATATCGACCAATACCTGTCCGTTAAACCTACAACGTGGCGCAATCTCGCCCTGTCCTTCGTCACCATGATTGTCATCGCTATAGTGCTGATACCAAACATCTACTGTGGCATGTTCATTACGCTGTCCATGTTGTCCATCAATCTCGGAGTATACGGCTTCATGGCGCTGTGGGACGTTCGGCTGGACGCCATATCCATGATCACGCTGATCATGAGTATCGGCTTCGCTGTCGACCTGTCGGCCCATATCTCGTACGGATACGTAATCGCTGAAGGAACCCCTCCAGAAAGAGCTTCAGTGTCACTGGAACTACTCGGCTACCCGGTGTTCCTCAGCGGCGTAGCAACTCTGTTCGGCGTCTGTGCCCTCAGCTACATCGACGTCCACATGGTGGTCACGTTCTTCAAGACCGTGTTCCTGGTCATCCTGTTGGGACTTCTGCACAGTCACATGTTTCTGCCCATCGCACTGACTATTCTGTTGCCGAAAAACTCTCATTACACAAACATTTTTCAATCTGTTAGCAATAAATTCAAGAAGTACTTCGGACCGCCGGAAAAGAAAATAACTCCAATCAGACTCTGATTGTGACAGTCGCTCGCGACACACGTCAACCTGTCGCCAAAGACACTGCGGTACTCGGTAGACCGCTACACTGATCCGCCAAGCAGGAAGCGAAACTGTGCAGTACAGGGCCGCCGTGGCTTTAAAACAAAATCTGAATAAAATTGTGTACAGAAATCATTTTTCGGTCCGCGTATAGCTAGATATAACCGCGAATATACGCACAGTGCATAACAAGTATAATTTTGTGATAGTTTATAGGTTACTTTTCTCAATGGAACTAAAGCACGAATATGACAGATGTGATCCTCTGTTGCGCGGGGAGGGGAGGCGAAGGGAATTAAAAAATTAGCATTAAATTGAGTAGTATCATTACATTAGATTTATTATATTTTCGCATTCCAAGTCGCACAGGGTTTAAATGAACGGATATCCCAAGTACTAAACAATCTGCAGGCTTGCAAGGGTACGGTAAATGATGATCAGAAACACTCACAAGTCGATCAAAGATTTTCTCTTCATTTACTGATTCATCCTCAATTTCTCAAGGCTCGTAATTTTCATGCTTTTTGCCATGAATTGCCACTTTCCTTTCATAGGTTAGACCGCATGATGAAAAGAATTGAATATGCTTTCTTTCTTTCTGATAATGTGCTTTCCTTCCTTAGACCGGTGTCTGCGATTAGAGCAACATTTTCTTAGACTGTATAACTGTAAGCGGATAGGGAAAACTGTCAACTCTACCTACCGAAGTTCAGTTGATTGGTCGTTTCAAAGTTCATGACAGATTGCAACGCATCACAGACGTAGCAGCGTATTGCAAAACAAACTATCTTTATGATATTAAAATTAAGATCCCGGATTGAAGCGGCGAAAATGCAGAGTGTAAAGAAAGAAAAATCAATTTCTCCCTTTACACCAACAGCTCATTGCACCGCCCCCTTTGCTTCAAGTCGCCTAGGAGGCCATTTATGCAGACCGCCGCGTATCAAACAAGGGTAGAACTAAAGTAGGTTCAATCAAAGAACATTGTCACGATCCGTAGTCGAAAACCAAATTTGGCGTTTGGGTTTGAACATTCATTTGTTCAGCCCTATTAAACGAGGCGGCCTTGCGTCCTCTGCGCTGCAGGCGCTTAAATACCATGGAACATAGTCTGCTTAAATAGTCCCCTAGGTAACTAGAAGCAAGGCATGGTGCAATAGTGTTGCTGGTGTAAAGCGAGAAATTGATTTTTCTTTCTTTACACTGGCTACTGGCGGTATCGAAAGCTCCTGCTAGTACAGTCTACCAGGAACTTCGGAGTTGCGTTTTTGAGAGCTTCTTTATCTTCCACTGTAATTAGTGCTCCTATGCTATTCCGCACTTCGGTTGCTGTCAATAATACACAACAGAGACACCGGTTAAATTTTGGGCAATGCAAGGTGAAAGAACAATATTAAACATACGGGTGCTGAAGCAGGTTTTTGGTCGACCATAACCTTTGCGATTCGGTTTTGAGTCTATTCACTGCAAGTGCAAATATGTCATAGAGGCAGAACTTGCTTAAACGTTGCCATAGACTACTGCAAGCAGGGGGGGCAGTACAGCGTGAGAATTAACAGGAAAAAATAGAAACATTCCACTTGTTCATTTCGATCGATGGCTTAATACAGAAAAATGTCTTATAAACTTAATTGGCGACGTGCTTTATTGCCACATAACTCGTACCGTAATCCGGTGAAGCGCACCAAATCAGTGCAACAGTTAAAGTGATGCAGATCAGATCTTCAGGTTCAAAGATCGTCATCACTTCACTTTGCTCTCGAACCACTTAGCTGATGTCATCCAATTTTTGTTTTTTTTTGATAATATGTGCTTCGTACACTCAGACTCGCTGAGTAGGTTTACTTGATCTATTGGATGTTCTGAGATTGTTGTATTTCTATTGAACCTCGCCCATATTCAGACAAATGTTCCTTTGTCTGGACACACACCTCTGTAAACGTTTCACCTGCATAGTGTATACAGCTTTGCCGTTAGATCTTGCGGACAACATTAGAATTCTAAGTTCAGATACACAACAGGTAAATCATAAATGTGACGCTTCAAGGCATGATTCAATGCTACTCAAGTACGGCAAGGTCACCAGGCACTCCGCCACTCAGCTGGCAGTACATCGGAGGAGGCATGGGACGCTAACTCAGCATACCAAAGTGTCAGTTGAATACAGACGCGTCTCTGTGTCCTCGAACTTCCAAAGGTACTGCGGTACGCTGTTTATTGCCTTTAAGTTGAATAGCACGAGTAGAAGACAATGAAGGACGATATCCGGTGAAAATAGTTCATGTTTCTGTACACATGTTGCTCCGCGTGACGATGACGAAAGTTGCAGGTCGAGCAGCTAGGAAGTCCACGAGGAACTCAAACCTCCCAACGGCTTCACTACAGAACTTTCGAAAAATGTAGGTCACTGTAATTGTTGAACAGGGCTCCCTTAAAATTTATCCTGGTCTGTAATAAATGTGCAAGAACAGGAGATATCGATCCGTTGCCTGTTTGATAGCAGTTAATAGTTGTCCGATTTCGATCCACTGTTCAAGGCAACAATTTTAAAAGGAATGATGACATTTCTTTTTAATGAAGCGACAGTGGAGAAGCTGAAACAGAAACTGTTTGAAGAAATCGACCGTCTAGTGATGGACATGAAAGGAATATTATCGAACATGTCAGTCATAAGTAAGAACATCCTCCCTTCAGGGTCAGAAAACAGGCTTTCATGTTCCACAGTTATGGTCGATGTCCCACATGAGGAGCTGATCAAAAGAGCCCATATATCACCGTTTTGTGAAGAACTGTGATTCGATCTGAAAGCGTACGCTGAGATGCCGCTACTGGTGAACCTTAGCGAGGGAATGAACATAAACGGGGGCGTGGATGAGGATTATGACCAATTTTTCAATGCCATCAGACTGCCTTAAACGTCAAGCCGCACAGTGACCTCAACGAGAAACCAACGGCTCAGCCCCTCAACATGGCAGCTAATCACTAGAGGAGTGCAGCTGAATGCGGGAGGAAACTGAACAACGTGTTTGCATATTGTGCAAACAGATACGAAAGGGAGAAGAATATAAAAATTACATGAGAATTAGATGAGGAGAGGCCACAGAGCGGAAGAAAAACCTGAGAGGGATGCAAAGTGATACTTGCCTAAAACAGCAGATTCAAAGGGCACTAACAAACGTCTCCAAGAACCTACATATTTACAAAGTTTGTGTGAATTGGGAGCTGCTACACCAAAAACAAATTTGAGTGAGCAATGAGAAACAATAAAAATGGCAAATGTAGAGGCAAATGTGATATAAGACCAGAATGCCATCAGGCTCTACAAATAATCGTGTTTAAAACGTCAGTCAAAGGCTTTACGGAATACATCGGGCAAACCAGCACGACTAAGTGTTGAAAGTGTTGAAGATATCAAAAACAGTTTCATCCTCATCTTCCGTGGCCGCTTCTCTTTTCGGGTCACCAACGCAGACGTGTCAGACAGTGCTTCCAATGTTTCCAATCCTGTGCCAGAGTCTGAGCTTCGGCAGGAGTCAACTGGAGTCTGGAACAGACTCTTTCCGTATATTTGCACCAGATTAATGCTGGCCGTCCCCTGGGTCTTCTGCCGATCGAATTCGCAAGAAATGGCTGCTTCGCCCCAAAAGAAAAAACAGTTTCTCCAATGAAAAAAAACGAATCGAGAAATCTCAAGCTCTATGCACCATTACATCCCTGTCACAGATCTACTTTCTTAATCTACATCATTCTGAACCCATTGAAAACGACCTCGAACTAGTCACAATTTGGACACAGGCCGATTTTCGTAGAGGATTCTTTCCCATCGACCATATGCATGTCATCCAGAAGCTGACAGAAGAGTACAGCGAATAGCAACTGCCACTTTGTTTCGATTTCATTAGCTAAAAGAAGACGTTCGATTCTATAGAATTGTTGACGCCTATGCTAAGTGCCTTCCACGAACTTGGCATAAGCCTAGTCGAGGAATCTCATCATCCTTTTCACGACTGATATCAAGCTGTTCAGCGAACCGTCCACGTCGCATCAGGATCCAATGAGGAGTGTTCCAAAGTGATATTATCTCACTCGCTCTTTGTCTGAAGCCTTGGAATCGCTTTTCAGCAGACCAGACTGGTGGCGGAACATCAATATTGATTGACAGCAACTAGTGCGCTTGTTATTTATGGACGACCGCATCGGCGTGGCTCTAACAGAAGATCCTGTGGCTGCAATGAGAACTTCTCCAAGACGAAGTGAATGCGAAATGAACATTGCTTCGAGGAATAAGAGCGAATATCGAAGAACTCTAAGAAATAACCAACAATGCATACCTTGGCCGCCAGGTTAACTGCATGAACTCGCTAGACAGGGAAATCAGCAGAAAAATTGGGGGAACAGTTCTGGGGGGGGGGCAGCTTCATTATTCGACAGTGAGTTGCCCATGCAGCCGAAGAAAGAACTGCTCGATTTAACCGTTCTACCAGCCATGAAGCTGACGTTAACAAAAGGAGTGATGGAACGTTTGCACGGTGTCCTCCTGAGTTCAAGTTCTGAATGCGAAAATTCGACAACGCACTGGATTAACAAACCTAATACCCGCCTTCTACTACGCCATGAGAAGATGGTCGGTAATATGGCTCGCCTGATGGACATCCTTGTGCATGTCAAGAATAGAAAGCTAGGTTGTGTTGCACCAACAACTTCGACTGGGTCGTCCATGAACACGCAGGGCTGACCCGATGGTCAAATTCCTTGATCAGCAATAAAGGCAAAATATTAGAGGAGCGTCAATATCTGTTGATGGCGCACCCACAGTGAGAAGTAGTCGGAAAACGGAATTGCTTTTCAGTTTTCGATGGGAATGCTGCACAGCGAGCTTGATTGATTGCCTTCTACTGCCAACAATATTTGGTACATAACATTGGGTAGTAATTTACGAATGCTTGCGACGCATCTGGTACTGATTCATCATATTA